GTGAGGTCTGTTCACTCTCCATTTCAGGCTTACTAGAAATTGACTTGAGCCCCATCTGAGAAATCAAATCTGATTGATTAGTTTGATTAGAAAGCAACTCCAATGAGCTCTCTTTAGATTTTGACATGCCTAAAGTCTGTTTACTCTCCATTTCAGGATTACTAGAAATTGACTTGAGCTCCATCTCAGAAATCAAATCTGATTGGTCAGTTTGATTAGGATGCAACTCCAATGAGTTCTCTATTGATTTTAACATGCCTGAGTTCCCAGGCTGAGGAGGCTCCAGATCATCACTTTTGGAAGATGAGCTTGGTTGGCATGGTTGAAACTCAAAGTTGTATGCATCACAAGTTACCAAATTTTCCTCAATTCTACAAAACACTACTGTTTAAACGAGCATGCCATAATTCTAAAGTCCGAATATTAAAAGTACATGACATCAAAGCAGGCAAAACAAATGCTTGAAAACTAGCTAAGGAAGAAGATGAATGCTCGTCCAGCGGATCCCTAAAGTAGTAAAGTTTATCACGCTTATAGCCCTTGCCAAAAATTCTCTTCGAACTCAGGTCCTATAAAAGGCAAGAAGAGGCTAAGAAGACAACAACGCAATTAAATTGTTTGACAAGATAACTAATGGATAAGAGATTATATGCAAAATTCGAAACATGTAAAACAGACAATAAAGTAATGGTAAGGGGATAAAGACACTACACCCTTATGACAAACAGAAGATAAAGAACTATCAACAAGACACATAGATTGAGCAATAGCAGTAGGAACTAGAAAAGAGAAAAAATAAATAAATAAAATAAAATCCACAGGTCATATGATCATTAGCCCCAGAATCTAAAACCCATGAGAGACAAGCAAACTGAACATGGAAAGCAATAGAAATACCTGTAACAAGGGTGGCAACAGTGAAAGACAATGGGCCATGAGAACCAGTAATGAGAGATCCAAGCTGAGCCTGAAGCTAACCAATATAAGTCTGTAACTCTTGTAAATTAGGGATATTAAGAGACCTAGGAGTAGGAGTAGCCTCCACTAAAGCAGCAGTGCGAGGGGTGAAAGTACCACAAGGGCTAGAAGAACATTGCCTCAACTCAGGATGAAGTTTGAAGCAACGATCCTTAACATGACTATAAGCACTACAATGATGACAAGTAACTAGACCAGCAAAACCCCGAGAACCAAACTGTGCAACAAAAGCCAACTGATCAGATGAAACAGGAGACATAGGAAGAGGGCTCGGTTGAACTAGACGTCTACGGCGCTCATCACTATCAATGGTGGCAAAAACCTCATAGAGAGATGCATAAGTGATGTGTTTAAAATGAGTTCGAAGAGATTTACTCAGAGTTTAAACCCATTAGAAACTGATAAGTGCTGACGAGCAATGCATTTGGACACAAGAGATGCAACATTTGCTGGTACCCCAGTTAAGGGCTCATATTGAGCCAACTCTTCCCAATGGGCTTGAAGATATCTGAAGAACTCTACCACAAAAAGTCCTAAAGTAGATTGGGAGGCATGAGCAATATCCTAATAAAACTCAAAAATGTGAGCATCATTGTAAGCATGAGCATACATCTGTGACAAGGCATGCCATAGAATTAAAATTGTGTCACAATAAAGGAACATGTGGTAAATACAATCCTCCATGGAGTGGAACATCCATCCCAAGATAGTATAATTATCAATGTCCCACTGGGCACGGGTAAGGTCTGTCGCAGCTGGTTAGGTAGTAATAGGTAAAAGCCAATGGACCTTCTCCTTTCCCCCTAAATAGAGTTTAAGAGAATGGCTCCATGCAGCAAAATTTTTCCCATTCAACACTACACTTGTAATACGATGAACATGAGTGTGATGAGAGAGAAAAATCAGAACTATTAGGACAAGTTTTCTGGGTACATCAGAAGAGACAACAAGAGATGGCTCAGTCATGATGGAATAATAGGGGCTGGAAAACACACAGAATCATAGCAAAACTGTCACGACCCAAACCCGCCCTTATAGGTTTAGCATCGTAACCGGCCAGTAATCTTTGGACTACCGAAGTCCTCTGAACAGATTAACAAGATTAAGGGGCTAGCGGAAGCAAATACATAAATATAGTCGTCCAATGAGCTGTGCTGACTTATATGAAACAGAATATTTAAAACTTTATATACATATCCGATAGTCAACCACACATTATACCCACACACATTACAGTATCTTAAGTACAGCCAACATAATCAAATCCAGCCTCATACATATACAGAATCAACAAGACTGAACATAGGACACTTCGGGAACCTTCACGTGAGGCGCAATGATTGGCTGACAACAGAAACACAGTTCCAGACAAAAGCCTTCGGGCTCGATCTCCAGAATGCCCACCTATATATACATATATATACAAGCAGTGAGCTAAAGCCTAGTGAATAATAACAGAGTAAAGGATTTAATGAATGACGTCCATCACAGAGTTAGAAATCAAATTTTTATCAGAAACAGATTCTTACACATATTCGAAATCATTTCCATATTCAGATTTTGCATATAATCATACGTGGTACATCCCTTAGCGTTAACAAATCCGATGGCCCATAAAGCGACGGCCTTGAAGGCATTCTGATGACTCATGTGCACAGAGATGTTTCTAATGACCCATAAAGGGACCTGATAACCCATAAAGGGACACGTATCATATGATGCTAAGGATGCCACGAATAACTTTCAGAATCTTGGACAATCATTCATTCATTCAAAACATAGCGTACTAATCATTTCGTATCATAATATTCAGAAAATACTTAACATTAAATATAACTTTACAAAGTTATTACTCACAGATGATGGGCAGCCCTAACTAGATGGTAAGGAAGCCCTTCACTTGTTCTGAGGCGCGTGACCTACATGAACACACATACGAACACACACTTGAAATACACGTTCGAAATGTACATAACTTATGTCGTTGCTCTTAGTGTGTCTCTAACCCTTAATTATCATTATGGAGTCTTAAACATTAGAAATGCCTAGGATGGAATGAGAATGCAAGAATGCGTTAGAAAATATTTCTCAAGATTTGCTGAAAATAAGGTCCATGCTCGAACGTGGCTTCCCTCGCTCGAGCGGACATGCAAACAATGAATCCCCACTCGAGCGTGGACTTCCCCGCTCGAGCGGACTGTAAACCTTGACAAAAGTACTGGATGCATGTTTTTCACGCTCGACAGGCGCTCAACCTACGCTTGAGCGTGGGACTCAAAACCTCGCTCGAGCATGGATTCCCTCGTTCGAGCGGACTACAAAGCACAAGAACTTCTGGGTATATGCATTTCACGCTCGAGCGTAGACTTCCACGCTCGAGCGGAGTGCACGTACTCAGAGTTCACACTCGAGCGTGGATCAAATTTCTGGGAATTCCAGATTTGATCACCAAGCTCAATTTCGACCTTCGAAGCATCAAACTCAATTTTCTAAGCCCAAAACTTTGGAAAACACTTAATAACTCATAGAACAACATGTTTGAAAGATCATTTCAAGAAATCATGGTCCAAGAGCAACCCAATTTGTACAAAATCAACATGAACTTTATGAATATGCTATTAATTCAACATGCAAGAACCTCTATGAATTCAAACCCTCCAAAACATAATTAAACTTGATAATTTGATGGAAAACAAGTTGAATGACCATAATGTGAGTGAAATTAACACATGCATGGAAGAAATCTTAAAACTCAAATTCAAAACATGGAAATTTATACATGCATGCATGAATTAATCCTCAATTCAATATTTTAACCCAAATTCTAGCTTTAGACACTAATTAACCATGAACCATGCAAGAACTAATCTTAAATTCACAATGGAGAAGGTGAAATTTCTACCTTAGGTCTTGAATTCTAAGTGTAGAAGCTCAAATCTTCCAAGTTTCCTTCAAATCTCCAAAGATCAAGCAAAATTCTTGTTGAATAAATTTTCTCCTACTCTTCTCTCACTCTCACGGTTTGGTCTGAGATATGGATGAAGAAATGATGCCTCAAGGGTGTGAATTAAGTCCCACACAAGTTTGTAAAGGTGGCCCACTAGGTGGCAAACATGTAAATACTCAACTAATGCGATTTAGCATTATATAATCTAATTTAATCATACCAAATCAAATTTCAACTAAATTTATCATAAAATCACATTAATTTCAATTAACACAAAACACTAATCAGTTCCGAATTCGGCCGCCGATAAGGCCTTCAATTCGTAGTTCAAAGTCAAAATATAAACAGATCATTTTATGGCAAACAGATAAAGACACAAAGATAATGCAATACATATGCAAATTTTAATTCCGGATTCCTTCTAAATTATTGTTAGGTATAAATAATCATAGTTTAACATTAATCGGAGGTCGGGATTATTACAAAAACAATCCAAAACAATATAAAAGGCCGAAAAAAAAAAAAAAAGACTCAACGAAGGCTGAAAAAAAAAAAAAAAGACTCAACGACTTATCCAATTAAATGCTACCGAGCAAATCCGATAGACCAATGAGCAAAGTAAGCACAGAAAAGTGCTTACCACATCCAAACAAAAACACTAGAAGGGTAAAAAGAGGTTCACAATACGCTAAAAAGGCTGTTGGTGGATGGGCAAGCGAGGAAAAGGCTGCTGGAGTGAAGGGTGTGGCTGTGGACCACCGAGAGAGAGAAAGGGTGGCTAGGATTTGGCTTTGATACCAAGAAGAATAAAAAGAATGGTATTGACTTACCTATGAATGATGTAGAAGCCATGTATATATAATATATTCATGATACAATTTATGAAATAATATAAACAACACTCTAAATCTGTGATTCATACAATCACGGATTTTATACAATCTACCAACAACAAAAAAATATTCCAATTCCTATATTCAACATTCTAATTCCTATATTCAATAGTTGCTTGTAGAGAAAACTAGGCATTTGTGTTTTCTTACCAAAAAAAAAATTAAACGACAGGACTTGTTCATAATCAGACAAAGGTGAAGTGAAGTTTCAATATAATACGTACGGTCACAAAGTCATGCAGAAAATGCAAGCAAAAATGAAATATAATGCTTCTAAAATGAAGCAGAACATACATTGTAGCTTCACAAGACAACATAATGCCTCTAAATCATATGTCTATTTGATAACAATTGTCTCAGTAGAATGAACTGTTTTATTACATTTAATTGATCTAAGGCTCTATCAAAATGATCCTTCGCAATATGCTCTGTTGAGATTAGATACAGTTACTGCTTCTTCTCTTCCGCTTTCCTTGGCTGAAGAAAAAAAAAATTACAGAAATAATCAGTATAAAGAAGAATCCAGTTCCACCATCCCCTTTTATTTTGGAAAGTAAGAATTATATAAAGAACCGGTCAAAGCACAGAATACTAGAGGCCATCCAAGGATAAACAAACAAATAACTATCCATATAGCAGGATCAAGTTAACAACACAAGGAAGACAAAGAACAAAAGATCAAAAGGGATCTACTATTCTATAACTAATCATTCACAAATATAGAAGCTACGAGTCTCCATTCATGTTGAATCCAAAAATTTGACTGGGATCGTTGGATTCCTTTTATAAAACGGTAGGAAGGTTTCAAGAGATTGAGGCCACTTGGCGATCATCCAACCAAGAGATGAAAGCCACTGATCTAATGGCCATGAATGAAGAAGGTTTACCAATTTATAGATAAACACACATTGAGAATCAATCCCTAGTTACGTTGTGTTTAATTGAGAGATTTGGGAAGGAATTTGAAAAGGGAAAGGGAAAAGGTGTGTAAAATTAAGTGAAATGTACATTTCACCTACCTTTTTCCTTTCCGTTTCTAAATCTCTTCCTAAATCTCTCAACCAAACACAGAGTTAATAGGGATCTCTTGATTTGATAGTCAAGCCCATATCATCATCTCAAAATAATAAGGCCAGCTATGAAGGCCTCTAGCCTCATCTGTTAGGATTACCCACTGATGCAGGGAAGCTAATGGGATGAACACCAAACACAAAGAACAACCACGAATTGATAAAAAGAGACACTCTCTCTTGTATAAAATTAATTCTCCAAAATAATCTGTCTTGTCCTAAGGCTTACAGCTCCTATTTATAATAGAACAAACCTTAATTAACTAAGGAAATAAGCCGTAAAACGTAACGCTCACTAATCAAACCCGAATCAAAGAAATTACAAAAATTACCAAAAATAGAAAGATTTAACCTCAAATCTGGAAACTATGTTTAAAAATACATATGTTGGAAAAAAACCTAACCTCAAATGGATTCTTCTTGGGTAATTGACGAATCAATTATTTCCAAAAACGGCAAAATCAAAAAATTAAAAACCTAAACAGTGGAATTGACTGAAATTCATTGCACACCATGGTGAAGTGATGGGGTAATGATTGTGACATCATTTTCAATGTCCCGACCAAATTCCAAGCCATTCTGAGCACATGCCATCCTGCATCTATTAGTGCCTTTTGCCTTTGCCTTGTTTGTCCATGAGTTCCAAAAACTCTATGGCCACCCACTGTCACACTTCTACATGCCATGTGGCGCTTTTTCATTGGGCTGTCATTTTTTGCCCAAACAACATGTAAACAAGATCCTCCTTTATTTCTATGAAATTTGTATGTTTGAGGTTCTATCTCAGTTGGGAGTGAATTTATTTCTTGACAAAAGCAAGTTTCTTACTTCATAGCATGGAATCAAGTTTCTAAGAAAGAAATGTCACCCAAGTAGGAGTTTCCCACTAGTCAGTACGGTCCTACCATGTGAGGAACTTTTGTGAATTGCTTGGGATTTTTCATGTCCTTGGAGCAGTATAATAAGCAGGGATGCTACAATCACTCAAACAAAATGATTTTCTTAACAAAACTCGAGGCAGGATATCTAAATACTGTCTCTTCAAACTACTACAACTCCTTCCAATTCAGTCCTTGACCCAACCCATACCCTCTTCTTTTTCAATCTCACGCACCACCGCAACCCAAAAACTTTAGAAAGTTGGCAGCAAATCAAGAGAAGAGGATATTGCCATAGACACAAAAGGTACCAATCAATGTGATTTTCCAGAGACATTAACCTGTCATATTGGCACAAGTACAGAGAAAGAATGGCTCTAACACTGAAACAGCTGTGGTATCTATATAGATGACATGACTTCTCACTCAACATAGCCTTCATACCAACCATTCATCATTTAGTCAAATTTTTAGCTAAGGGACACACTATACCTAATACCTAAGAAGACAGACATGGACATGGACACGGTTACTGATACAAGACAACAATTTTCAAATATATTTTTATTTATTATATCTATAGGCTTAGTTACACAATTGATCCCCAAATGTTTGATGGATCTGACTCAGCTGGGATATGCATCAAGAAATTGGGATACCATCCAAGTTGATTTCTGGTCCTGTTGGACCCATCAATGCATGTCGCACACAATCTTGGTTACCAGCACTCTTGTTGGCACGTCTTGAGTTGTTACTTGTCTCATGTATTTGCTTGCTTGCTGGGCACAAAAGCTATACTTAGAAAACTCGCTTCTCTTCACCAATAAATAAACCAACATCAGTTTACGCTCCCTTTCTTAGAGAACTTGATTATTTTTATTAATTGACTCATTAACAAGCAAGCAATTACTGCCTCCTAAATGTTTCAAAGATAAGCTTGTCAATGTATCTCATTCTTAATATATATATACATATAGGCAATTCATACAGTGAAGCCATTCATGTGTACACTGCATTTCTGTAACAACCCTTGGCTCAAAAGAATAACACCAAGGCAAGAGTTCTCTAGCAACAAACAGCAATATAGCAAGAATTAGTTTATTCCATCTTCCACTCAGATTAAAATCTTTTTCATATGCTCATATCAGCTGTATGTGAAAAAATATAATGTGAAACTGCTAATCATTTAAAACCAAATTCTAACTCATCTGCATACCATACTGTAATCCAGTATCGTTTTTAGCAAGTTTCGGAATTTCTTTTGGCAAGTAATACTGAATAATAAGCTGAATGAAAATGGGTCAGAAAACTGGTAGCACACAACATACTTGAGATCAAACAACCCCCTAGAACAACAACAACGATGATGTGCTTTGCACTCTATTGAATCTGTACTTATGACCAACTAAAGCTAATGACCTCGCCATTGTACACTTAGATCAGTATAACTGAATAAAGCTCTTTGTTCTAGATCTATGTAATTCAGATGCTCATACTTTCACTTCTTCCTCTCGTGTTATGAAGCACCGACACTTCAAAATGGGTGTCCAAGTCAGACACATATGGGACAACAACACTCCAGGGACATGCATGACACATTTTTTTGCAAGACACTTTGGGGACATTTTCACAGACACGCCGACCTTGTGTTTGGACACCCCTCAGGACACCTTTGTGAGGTTTTTTTTTATAAATAATTTTATAAAGATGATTTGGGGTCAAAAGTAAAATATATAAAAACCAAGAGGATTGAAAGTGAAAAAAAAATAAAATACACCTATATATACATTGATGACTCTTATATCTTTGTTCCATATGGCCTAAATTTATATTCATATACAAAACATATAAAACTATATAAAAAAAAATTGTCATATTCCCACCGTGTCCGTATCCTCATTTTTTTTCACATTTGCCATGTCCAGTGTCTATATCCGTGTCCATGTACACATCTATGTCCATGCTTCTTAGGTTTTCTTCCACATTTGATGCCTTATATAATTACTCATACAGGACAGCAAAAGCAGATCATATATCTATCGCTGTACTGCACTTATATAAAAGGGAAGAAAGATAAGAAGAAGAAAAAGAATCCATCAACACATAACTTTTCTCTAACTTGATGAAAAAATAGTAATAAATATGTCTCTATTTCAAACTACTTTACTACCTTTAGTGCCTTGCCTTTTACACTCATGCACTATCTCAGCATTTTAGATGTAGGATAATAACCAATAGCCAAACACAAATATTAATGTGAATAAAAGCGGAAAATATTAAAAGGAAAATCAAAAATATTATAAGTAGATGTGTTTATGGTATCATTGCTGATGTAAGACATGCTTGCCCCCAAGCTGATTTTATGATTACAAAATTTGTAGTTTGTTTAATTTTTTCATAAAAAAATGGGAGGCCTAACTCAACGTCTACCCTTGGAAATATATGAAGTACTAGAAAGAACGCAAACAATCATCAAAGTGCGCTATGGAGCTTGTGGATCGCATAGTTCTTGCAGTACTGAATCCTTTTTCTTTTCTGTTTTTCTTTTTTTTCCTAAGCTCTCGGGTTGTGAGAGTTCATGTTTTATCACCTGGATCTTTTTGGTTTTTGGTGGTCGTCTCTTGGAGCTAGCAGCTTTGCATTTGCCCTCATGAGCTTTGACTTGAGCTCCATTGTACATTTTCTATTTTTTTGGTAACCAAAATGCTCACTTACCAAAAAAATAAAAAAATTAATCCTAATTTCTTAGATTGCTTGAGTTTGGAACAAATTATGGATGTCAAGTCACTGCTGAGCCAATCTTTGGTAGCTTCATCAACATGACTATGAGAAACCAACATTCCATTTTCCCCAAACATGAGGTGCAAACTTTGAAAATGAATGGTAATAGCTCTTTTTTCTTTTTCGAAATATTCACCACTTTTTATGGGTATACTTACCAACTCACCAATTGTCAAGCAATTCGACCCATAAATCTGATCTGAAAAATTTTTCAACTTTGAACCAAATATCTCTCACAAGTCTCATTTTTTTTTTTTTGAAAACATCTCTCACAAGTCTCATAAAGACGCATGATTGAAGAACCCACCAATTGCTCATAAACAATATATATATATATAGAAAAGAAAAATTGAATAAAACAAAAAACCCATCAAATTCATGTAACAGAAAATCAAACCCACAACAACAATGAAGAAATAATAATAGAGACCCACCAACTGTTCGATCAAATGTCTGAATCAAAAAATGCCAAGATTTGATCAGAAACTGTTACCTTAGTACCAGGGGCTGCTTGGCGGATCTCCTCCTCGGGGATAATAACAGGCCACTGCTCACCGGCGTCGCGGAACATTTGCTCGGTCTCGAGAAGCTGACCCTTGTCGAGAATCATGGTCCTGATGGTTTGTGCTGGGGTGGTGGTGGCATCGAATGCCTCTTCGACTCCATTGACGAAAGTTACGGTGATTTGAGGAGGGTGATCGTCGGTGCGGCGCTTGACCATGAGTTGACAAGCTGGGTTTGATTCTTTGGCCTTGCGGGCGTTGCATTGGGCTAAGAACTCCATGCACGCCGCGGTGCGAGGGTCCAGAGCGTTGAACTCTATTCGCACCTTCGACAGGAACTTCAACATTCTCTCTCTCTCTCTCTCTCTCTCCAACCCCGTCAGTGTTGTGAGTGTGAGTGTGAGTGTGACTGTGAGTGTGCGTGCTGGTGGTGAGTGAGACGAAGTTTGGTAGTCACTTTTGTTTCCCAAACATCACCTTAGACCATCCAAGCTTTTTGGGTACAGATCACTAATTTTAAAAGTCTAAAAAGATCACTAAAGATATGATACTCAATAAAAAAATAAAAATTAAAATATCAAATTATTTATGATGAAATCTACTACCATCAGTGATAGCACTAATTAGTACTCTCACTCATTCTCTTTTTGGGTAAGTACAGCGTCCAAGCTCAACAACTTTTCAACCAAATTACAATCTAAAAATTACTTTTGCTATTTTATATATGGGACACATTTATCGTATACATTCTTCAAAAAGATACTGATCATATAAACTTTATAATTTAAAAGAAAAACATAATTTTATATTTTTTAAAATTATAATTAATAAAAATAATATCATGACCAAACAAAATATGAGATATAACTAAAAATTTTATAAGTCATAACTTAAATAATGTCATAATTAAATAAGAAAATGACATAACTTCGGGTGCACATGATACACCCTATGAAAAGTGTGTATGTTAGAATTTTCATTTATATAGTTCTCTTTATAAATACACCATCCATCATTAGACAATCTATTCTAACTTTAATTTTAAGGTAAATTATAAATACACCTTTTAATATTTATTTAAAATATAAGTTGTCTTCTGTAATTTAAAAAATTACAAATATTTCATTGTTAAAATTTTTTATTTAACAGAGTTAATTAAAAAATGAAATTATTAACTATTTATCAATACGGTAATAAAATAATTTGAATTATTAATTAAAATATTTTTTAATATTATTAAATACTGTTAATTAACTTAATAATTTATTAATAAAAAGTATCATTTATTATGAAATTAAAAATTTCAAAGACATGTATTTGTAATTTATCATTTTATTTTATTAAAGAATTATTTTATTATCCATTCTTTTAATGATGAATACTTAAGAAAGTTAATATAGTGAGGTTTAACTTATCAAATAAATAAATAAATAAACTATTGAATAATCAATGAATAGTGACTCAACAAATTTGTTGAGTTACTATAACAAATACTATAAATAATAGCTTAGTCATAAAATTAATTTGTTAGGATTGGTAGAGCAATATTTTAATAATTTACTTTTTATATTTAATCAAAAAAAAATTATTGAGACCAATGTAGATGCTCTGTGTGCGCCTACTCATTGAATAATAACAACATCTGCCATGGTTCACTAGTATTAAAAAATTAAAGTTCATTAAATTAGGGAATAATTGTTTTTTTCATCAAAAGTAAGAACTCATTAAATTATTTATAAAATTTGAATTTGATAAAATTTTAAAAAGATGAAACTTTGCAGTTGATTTGTTTTCAAATTTGATGAAAAATAAAATTTGGGATAAGAGAGAATTTTTGAAATATTTTGATGAAATTTTGATGAAAGGGTTAAAGAAATTCATATCAAATCAAATTTTTTATTCAAATTTAAAATCAAATTACATGAAAAATATTAGTGAAGGATTAGAAATACTCTAAGAAATTAGCATTATAGCCCACTCGATACATGTGCGGCTGTTTTTGGGTTTCATATTTTACCCTCTATTTTGTGCAAAACTTTATAATATGAATTTCTATATCAATACAAAGTTGAAATGGACAATTGAAATCAAAAAGAGATTGAGATCAATAATTAAAATTGCAAGGAATTTTTTTTGAACGCAACTATTGGCTTGCTAATACGTATTTGCTCCAATCTTTTTTTGTGCTGAAGAAAAACATACTTAAAATCATCTTATGGCAATTTTGAAGGTTGTCTTAATTGAGTAGTTGGTGGGTATATTCTCACACAATTGCTCAAGATTCGATTATTGGGATCAAACCAAAATTAGTCGAAATGCATGTAAATTGTTCCAAACACTCCTAACTATTGAACCAAAAAATTTAAAAAGTCATACTTTGACATGACTACACATTCACATATAATATAATAATAGTATAAATATGTCCTCATCTGTAGGAAAAATAATAACAAAGTGAACAATTTTGAACACATGTAATTATACATGATCACAATTGAACACATGTAAAATTATAATATAAAAAATTACTAAAAAGAGTTTCGATTAGATTTTTCACCTTCAATTTCAAATATGCTCAAGTTGCTATTACCGAAGAGGGAGGTTCAAGAGACTTATATAGATATTAATAACAGGCGCACATGTGATGTGTGTGCAAATATGCAAAGAACGAAAAAGATGAATAGGTCTAATTTTGGAGACATAATTTTATTTTTATTTTTTATTTTTTTGTATGGACAATTTACAAAATTTTTGAAATTTTGTGTTAACTTTATATAATAGTATAAATATAAAAATGATAACTACAATTAAAGACCAATGAACAGAATACACATACTTGGTAAAAAAAATGAAAAAATTCAATCATTTTCATATAATTTTATCTTATTTGGGATAGAAATAAATTTATAAATATTTGTTTAGCGTTTATTTTTATCAAATTAATTTATATTTAAAAAATAAATTCAAAAAAATCAAATCAAATTCAATTAAATTTTAGAAGAATCCAAACTGTCAAAAAATAAAAATGACTTGCGAACTGGTCTTATTGATTAAAACATATTGGAATAAAATAAATAAATATTTTAAAACTTAATAGTGTATTTAAATACAGCATGGCATCTATAAGTTGTTAAACTCCAAAAAACAAAAAATTTGACCACAAGATCGTAAGCCCCGTTCAGTTGGTCCAATGGACCGCGTGAATAACTGTGTAATCGGCCAATCTACTTCGGCGAGAGTCCAAAGGCTCCACACTTGTCTCAGCCCTTTCACATTGAATGCGAGATGGACTCCCACGCTCGAAGCTCACTCGTTTCCAAGGCCGCATCTCTGCGGAAAGAGGCCCGGGGACTTTCCTGGGCTTGGCCCTACCATAAATAGGAGCACAGCCCACCCACGCTGTCCTGTGGTCTGTTTACAAAGGAGCTTTAGCATTGTAGCTTTTAAACTTTAGAGAGTTGATGTTGTGTTTTCGATGTGGGATGTAGTTTTGATGGCTATGTTTGGATCATTTAGGCCATATTTGTTTGGGTGGATTGGATTAAGTTGGATTAACATTCTCATAACTAATAGTTCTAGGACTACGAATCCTTTGGATTGTCTATCTTATCTTATGTTTGGATTGAGTTAGGATTAGAAGGAGGGACTAATAGTCCCGACTTTGGTTTAGTCTTCCAATTTATATCCCACCCTCCTCTGTGAGATTGAACAGTCCATCATATGTGGGATACCATATCCGAATGGATTGTTAGTTCATACTTCAATTGTTTAACCAAACATCGAATTAATAATTTTATTAAACTATTAGTCCAATCCCAAACTCACGTCCACCCAAAAAACATGACCTTAATGAAACAACAAACAAAGAACCGAATCAACCCACTCATTCCATTTTGTTTAAGAAAAATATTATTTTATTTATAAATATGTATATAATTATTCACTAATATGATGTTACTATTAACAGTTCTGATATCAAAAAGCTTAATAGATTTTTCATTTTAAACTAACACCGTCAAAATTATGTCACATCATTCTGTATACATCTTTATATATACATATATATAAATAATTTGTATTTATATATCATTACTCTTTTGTTTATTGAAAAAAATGAGTGAAGTAATCCAGATTGGAGGCCTCTCTTTCATTCGAATGCAAGACGAAACAAAGGAAGAAGGGAGAAAGAAAAAGTGTGCCAGGAAGAGATACAGGTTCAAATTGAACCACAATTAATCTGTCCAGATAGAGATTTGAACCTCAATTAATCTGTCCATATAGAGATTCAGGTTCAGGGTTATCTAGCCAAAGCCAATTCTATGCATTGCTCTAATCTTTTTCAACATTATATTTTGGAGGATTCCTCAAATATATTTGCTTTGAATTTTTGCAAAGTCTCAAATCATACAACATACTCTGAGCCTTCTGAGTAGGGCACTGAAATGGAGATGACTAAAATTCTTCATCCCACCCTTTGACAAGAGAAAAGCAATGGAAGAAACCATTGACCGGAAGAACAAGAAGCGCAACACCAAAGATCAATAGGCTCCCTCTCTTACCTCATGCATGTCTACTAAATATGTGGCTTCTGCATCTGATTTAAAGCGAGAGAGAGAGAGAGCTCAACAATGTTAGGGGAGACACTATTTTACAGTGTATCTTTACAAGGAAGATTGTTTCTTGGCCCCTCATCCAACGACCAAAGCAAAGCCACATGTCCCCCACAGCATGGACATTAAAAAGAAAAAAGAAGAAAGAACAAGAAAAAAAAATGAAAAGAAAAAGAAAGAACAAAAGAAATTCAATTCCGTTACAAGAGATTAAAAAATTCAATTTATTTACCACTATATCAAACCTTCAATAATCCAAACAAAACCATTATACAACAAACCTAAAATAATGTCAGAAGTACTATTGAACAATCATACAAGCAAACCTCCAAAGCATAAATCTTTATAATCAAACAGAAAATAACAATGACAAGATGGTAACTGCGACAATAATTTACATAAAATCTCACTCCATTCTCTACATTCTTTACCAGCAAACCCCAATCCAGTGCATGCCCTATAGCATCAAGCAAAATTAGATAGCTACTCACGAAACAGATTGGCCTCAATTAACTCGAACTTCTAGGACTCATTAAATACTGTTTTGCTTCTCCATACTGTCAATCTTCACCTTTGCCACTTTTTCTCTGAAAAAGCAGGATTTAGGCTTATAAGCAACCAAATATATGCCAAGTACTTCACATTAAAAAACATTGGACAGAATTTGCAACATTAGACTGAAATTAAAGGGAAATGATTGCGAAAAAAGAAAATGCACCCAATTTAGACCCATGGGAGTCTGGGAGGGTGGATTGGGTATAGGCTTTGGCATAAATTGCTCAAAGTGGCTAAACTGGAAATTGTCACTAAAGATGAGTAAAAAATTTCAAAAGCATCTGGAAATGCAATGGAGCAAAAGTGCATAAAATATCAGCAATTGAGTAAACGTTTTGAAATGACAAGACCCTTTTCTGCAAGCAACCACAATACTAGAAATGAAATCCAAAATATCAGTTATATGCAACCAACATGCAACAGTCTAAATCTCTCTACTTGTAATGGTCCATGCCTCATTGTATCCTTGATCATCACTAGCCCATAGGTTATTTCTCGTTGATTTTCCTCGTAATTCAGAGGAATGACTCCTAGACATATGTACTTTCTTTCTTTCTATTGAATCAATCTATCCAACAAAACAATAAAAAATGATGCAACGGAGATGCTTCAAATATTCATCTACCTTCCCATGCGCCAAAAGTTTATCATGGCTGCCAAGGAAAAGAAGGGTATTTGATTATAGGTAACCGGAAGGTGCAAGTAAAATTCGTTCACAGGCTTGGTTTCTTGCTCTTTTACAGTTCATTTCAAACACCTATTTTCCATCTTGGTTCCATCTGATTTAATTCACTCTCGATAGCCATGAGAACTGCCCTAGAAATTCTGCTTAGACAAGTAAAAATACTTGGCACTAAAATGCATTAACTGCCTTCTAAAAACAGATAATGATCTACAAAGATCAAGACTAAATGAACTGTGGCAACACTCTAGTGCAAATGGAACCAGATCCTAGACTAAATGTTGCTGGAAGGCTATTCTCAGGATGAGTACATTTGGTCAAGTCAATGAACTCATGTAAGCACATCAGCAAGACTTACTAACTGAAAAGAACAGGAAGTGGGTCAGAAAATACCATGAGGGTGACCATTTCCCTTTGCGCCCTGCTGTGCCCGAGATGTAGACTGATGGATACGAGGAGATCCATGCTTCTCATTTGCACTAGGAAGGGAGTGTCTCTTCTTGACATAAATCTCCTTGTCTTGCATGTCCGGACTTGATCTCGGGGAGCTATTGGCAAGAGCTTTGGCTCTTGCAGATTCTGTTGCTAGCATGTAATTTGGGAGAGAATTATTACTGTTACTATCTCTTGGTTCCTGATCAACATTATCAGGTCTCGCTGAACCAAATGAATTGCGTCGCTTCCCAGTCTTACGTTCTTTAGGCAATTGTTCTAAACTACTCCTTACACCGGAATCATGGTCAGGATTCGTAGGGGACGTTTTACCAGCTGACAAAGACTTACGTTTAGATGCAGCACTATTACTTTTAGTCCTCTCAGCTTTCACCGATACCTGACTAGAAGGTGTTCCGTGGGATTCAGGGATTGTCAAATGGCTTTTTGCTGAAGCTTCTGGTGATGACTTGTAAGCTTGATGACCCGTCTCCGAGTTGTATGCTTTATGATCCGTCTCCGACTCCAACTCAATCTGTACATTAGACACATTTGTCTCTGGTTTCTGCTTTTCCTGCAAGGAATCTACAGCTGTAACTGAATTGACAGGCTCGCCATCGGCACCATTAACATCGTCAAGTTTCTCTGGCTGATCCGAGATGGAATAGGATAAATCTGATCCCGGGATGGTGGCCTGATCATTGGCTTCAATTTCTAGGTTCTTAGAGTTATTCGGATAGTTAGTCCCTTCCTCTGCAAGCACGGCTTCCTGCTCAACTTCCATTGCTCCAATCTCAGACCTATCTGGGGAATCAAGAGTAGAAGAAATAGAAAGTTCAGTCCCACATTCTGAACCAACTTTAACCCTTGAGGTACGCAAAACTGAGTCCTCTCCCAGGCCAATCTCCCTTGGGCTGATTGCATTTTCCATGGCAGATGAAATTGCGTCTGAGTTTGATTCAACTCCGACATCTTGATTGCAGGTTGATCTTGCCGAATTGGCAGGCAAACTCAGCTCCTCAAATTTTGACTGAACAGCGATAAATGCAGGATTAGTTGCCTTTCTTGTTCCAAACGCAAGCTTCTTTCCCTGAGTCTCCACTTGTTCAGGAGCAATTATTTTCACAGAGTGTGAGATCTGTTCACTCTCCATTTCAGGCTTACTAGAAATTGACTTGAGCTCCGTCTGAGAAATCAAATCTGATTGATTAGTTTGATTAGAAAGCAACTCCAATGAGCTCTCTTTAGATTTTGACATGCCTGAAGTCTGTTTACTCTCCATTTCAGGATTACTAGAAATTGACTTGAGCTCCATCTCAGATATCAAATCTGATTGGTCAGTTTGATTATGATGCAACTCCAATGAGTTCTTTATTGATTTTAACGTGCCTGAGTTCCCAGGCTGAGGAGGCACCAGATCATCACTTTTGGAAGATGAGCTTGGTTGGCATGGTTGAAACTCAAAGTAGTATGCATCACAAGTTACCAAATTTTCTTCACTTTTACAAGACGTTACTGTTTCTGTGATATCAGCCTTCAAATCTATTGACTCACAACCTTCAGATGGAAATCTAGTTTCTACTTGACTGGCAGAACACCCAACCTTTTCCTCCTGCTCTATTACTGAGTTCGGCTTCTGCAGCTGTTCAACTCCCATTGATGAAATAGACATCCACCTCTCCAACCATTGCCAAGCTGAATCAGATTTAGAAGGATCACACTTAATGTGAATACGTTTGGTCCTTGGCGTTGACTCCAGTACCTTAAAAGAATAGTTTCGGTTCAAAAAATGCATTGCAAGATCAAATAATCTGCAACGTAGTTGCAGGCCAATGGAAAAAAAGATAGCAATTCCCTTACCTGATGAGCAAACTTGTTGCTAAGCAGCTTGTCAATGGAAGCGTACGTTACATTTGGCTTGGTTACTGAATTACCCTTTTCCTGAAACAAGAGGACAATCAGACATAATGATTGAAGGCTGAAACAAGAGCAATTAAATAGATACCAAGTTGACCTATCAAAGCACGAAAAGATATTGACCTCATTTTCATGAAATGAAAATTAATATAGAAACCCAGATCCCAAGAAAACACAAAGAACAAAGGAGGGGGAAAAATGACAGGCCAGACTTGCTTTATTGAAACTCATCACTACGAACCTTGATCTCAGCAGCCATAGGCATTTCCTAAAAACCTCATCTTGAGGTCCATCGCAAGCACTTTGAAAATAACTGACAAGTCAGTACTGGTATATATTGAGTTGAGCTCCTTAATTCCATTTTCAAATTACTATTACATATTTGAAGATTATCTTAACTGATTATAGGAGTATAGCTCAGCCTAAAATTCTTCTAAAACTAGCAATTATTGGGAAAAAAAAAGGTACAATATAAGATAATTATTAAAGATGATTGCTTCCCTTAATTAAAATGTTCTGAAAGAATAAAGACATCAATTCAGCTTGCTCTCTTAATATGTCAATTCAACATATTTAAGTGTACGCAATTTTTTTTGGACAAGCATTGCAAGTGTTGGCAATGACTTAAATGTCATTATTGATGTGCACATATTATTAGTAGTCTGTATCCTTCAGAAAGTACTGAAAACAAGATATTTTTGAGAAGTCGTTATCATCACAATCAAGAGTGAACCTAATTTGACAAAGAACGTTGTCTCAAGTTGACAGCTGGCGTACAACCACTAGTCAAGCATTCAAACATGACAAGAGGCAAACCAACATCGGGTTGCTGACCCAAATAGAGTATTACCAATAGCTTTGAACTATGGTTATCTTTCACATGATTCCCATCTAGCTTCCCTTCAGAAGAAAGGTGAGCAAAACGTGCACGGACAACAGCTTGCATTTTGACAATGGCTTGAACACATCGTAGAGTTCCCACAGCATGCCTCCGAACCAAATGCCCACGTACAGCAGCTTGCAACTTAACTATATTCCTAAGCTTCAGAATTTCTCTCTGGGCCTGGTAAATACATTCACCCAGGGAATTTAAAAATTGCTATTTGGCTGAAATTCTATTATAATAAAATGGAAAAAATATAAAAACTTCATACCAAAAATGCTCTGATAGAAGCCTGGATAACAACTATAATGGATTCATCTGGTTTGACATCATGCATTGTGTTGTCCTCTATAATGACACTGGTAACAGATACTTTTGATTCATCTGGTTGGACATCATTCATTGTGTTGTCCTCTATAACAATGCTGGCATCAGGCACTTTTGATTCATCTGGTTTGACATCATGCATTATGTTGTCCTCTATAATAGCACTGGTATCAGATACTTTTGATTCATCTGGTTTGACATCATGCATTGTGTTGTCCTCTATAATAACGCTGGTATCAGATACTTTTGATTCATCTGGTTTGACATCATGCATTGTGTTGTCCTCTATAGCAACTCTGGTGTCAGATACTTTCGAGACCACTGAAGTTGATAATTGGGGTATCTCATCTGTCCATGGCATTGCAGAGGTTTTCTCTGGAAAAGTGGGGTTGGGATGAGTTTGTAAGTTGACATTAGCAGTTTCTGGGCTGTTATCTGAAGATTGCATTTCTGAAATTACAGTGTTGCTTAGCACTCGATGCCTGGCAGATCTCTTCCGAAAACTCCATCCACGTTTGTTTCCTGAAGCCTTGCTCTAGAATCAAATTCAAACAACATTAAATTTAGAGAGAGAAATAACACAATTGAAACCCATTTCCCCTTATCTTTAGATGGGTATCACATGAACACAACTGAAACCCATTTCCCTTATCTTTCTACGGGTATCTCATGATTGACCTCTTTTATATCAATTAAAAGCTTTCCTCATTTAACTTCAAACCCTTGTCCTTTCCATAGAATGATTCCATGGAACTTACAAGAACACAAACCACTCAAGGAATAAACTTATTTCATTATTCAATTAATAGCATTGTTGAAGAAGAAGTGTCGAGACAAACAAGCAATCGACTGAGGTAACATCAGTTAGAAGCATGCATGCATGCATGCACGCACTTGAGTGAGCACGCACATGAGAGAGAGAGAGCATAAACTGCATATGTGGCTAGGTTTTTGTTCTCCATAAACAATAAGATTTTTTTCTAGATTTCCTTATCAAGAAAAGAAATGCAAAATAAACAGAAGTCCACTCATATAGAATGGAAATTTATTGAAACATGAAACTCCAAGTACACTGCATTCCCTGGAACAATGAACAATCAACGTCATATGGTACTCCTTTAATGACGAATAACTATGAGAAGTTTTGGGGTTACTATGGTTTCTATACCATATCAGTGTTCTTTCTTCATTTGTGCGGATGGTTGTCTAGGAATCAGCATACAAACTGCAAACTACTATAACAGTATAATGCCCCTCCACTGCCATCAAACAGAGGGTATTTTGGAGGTTAAATGCATTAATACACTTCCATTTAATCAATCAACCCCAAATAGTAAGATTAGTAGCATTATAACGTGTAATTTGCGTGTTTAAAAAGGCACTAAAGGGCCAAATTATGTCACATGGCATGGAAAAAAAAAAAGCAATTCAGTATGCAAAATTACCAATGCCGTGAAGAACACAACACAAATAACAAGAGGATTGTTATTTCCAAAAAAGCAATGGCTGTTGTTTTCACAGTTTATTTATAACAATGCCAGTGACAAAAGAACAAGAAACACGTTTTTGCTTTTGTTTTTTGTTTGTTTTCCCCCCAAAAAATAAATAAATAGCATGATTGGTATACACGTGTTTTCAAGACAAATAAAAACAAAACCAAGAAAATATGTTCGGTAAGTTGCCGCCGGAGGGGTGGGGGATTGGCCACAGTTACTGTGCTACAGATCCCAGGCAACAACGTAAGCAAAATTATGAAATAATGCTTCAAACTTTTCTTAAGCATGATTGTTTTTATCACTCCACTCATCATCTAATCAAATCAAAGATACTGAATTAAGAAGGGGAAACACAAAAGGAGGAAGAAGACTACAATGTCTTTTCTTATATATATAATTTATACGTATATAATATATATATATATATAAATAATAATTAATATGACAAGACAGTTAATAGCCGTTTGTCCAAATCAGGTTACAATTTTGGCTTAACCATTTCTACGGTTCCCTGGACATTAAGTTCAGTTTTTGAAATTCATATTGTGTCTATAAGAAGGGTTGTGACCGCCCAGACTTGGTGTCTGTTCAAGTCCTTTACAAAGGATTCTGAGACAGACAATATACACTTTGCTTTTCCCTTTGCTTTATGTTTCTATTGTTTTTCTGGGTTGAGGTTCTGATTCGAAGACATATAAGGAATATAGCCTTAGAACTGTCTTCATACTAGGCATTGTATCTCAGAGATAGAATTTCCAAGAGTCCATTCGTATCATAGAAGGGGGGGGATCACTATCTTAAAGATAAAGAGTCCTTTTCCTGTTTCATCCTTTTCAGAGTCTAGTCACAACAGTCTCTACAACACAAATATTAGTACAAATTTTTAAAAGACATCAGTACTCATAAGAAACTACCAAATAAAAGAGACGTACGCTCAAAGACTTGTCACCTTCTACAAAGTCAATGCAAAACAAGCAAATGAATTACTAAAGTGAAAAATTTCCATTTTAACCTGATAGTCACACCTCCAATTACATACATTATGTTGTCACGGCATTGAGGTAATTTGCCGCAAATCGCAAACATTACACAAATTACATGTAAAATATGCTAAATTATTATCAGCTAATGTACATCACGAACTTGAACTTGAAGCCACATAATTCCAGATCACCACAGCTCTAGGAACTACAAATTTCTTACTTACCATTCACATCGATTTAAAAAAACAGTACGGATCAACAGGAGGCACACGATCAAAGAATCAAATTACTTGCGCCAATTCAAATGCGGATCGAGATCTAACCTAATCAGGTAATACATATATATATATATATACATATATATATATATATATATGTAATTATGGAGACAACACATGAAAACCTTTCTCTTGAAATGCTAAGTTGAAAAAAATACACTTAAGCACTTGAAGTTACTGCTTTGTCTTCTCAGAGACACAAACGATTAAAACATAAGGATTCAACATTTTAAATTCGTTTTGGCAATTGACACTTTCTCAGGAACCAAACAAAAAGGCAAAGTAGAAGAGTAAACCGTTAGATCAGAGATACCTCAGAGGCTTCAACATCGACGGGATCGCCAGCACACGTTATGATCTTGAAGCAAGATACAGTTGATTTTCCCATTTTTGGTCTGGAATGACCTCTCTCTCTCTCTCTCTCTCTCTCAGTTGTTGGTTCACTCTCTTTGGCCTTTTATGATAGTGTTGTTGGAAATTGAGCTTGAGATGAGATAAAAAAGAGCGAAAAAGAGAGGAGAGTTTGTGAAGAAGATGTGAGAGAATACGGACCTCAACACACTCCTAAAATCTAGCTAAGTTTTGGGTTTTGAGATCCGACCATTTAATCAAAGCGGAAAAAAGTCCGTTTTCTTTCATGCGTACCCCGTTGAAACGGTGAGGGTATGGATTTCATGAAATTTATAAAGATTGTTTCGCTGTTGCCTGTCCTCTCCTCGGATACTTTCTTTCTCCATTTTTAGTAGCTCTTTCGTCTCAAAATAATAATTTTTAATAATATAATTATTATATTTTAAAAAAATTAATTTTTTGATAGTGTATTTTTAAAAAAATATCAATTATCATAATTATATTTTTTATGTTATTAATGAATCTAAAATAAGGAAAAAATAAGAAATTTATATTATTTTTGTTCTTAATTTTTAAAAAGAGACTAATATTTTAGAATAATAAAAAATAAAATAAGAAACTAATATTTTGGAATGGATGGAGTATTTTATTTACTTATTACTTTTATTTTTTTAAATGAATACTCCTTCGTTTTATTTTACTTTTTTTGTGAAACATTTAATTTTTTTGATAGTATAATTATTTTTAAAATTACCTTTTGATAGTATATTTTTTTCGAAACATCAATTTTCATAATTGTACGGAGAGGAAATAATTCTCCTCGTATAATCCTGTTGACCAAGTCCACGCTCCTCCGTACGACGTCGCTTTATCACCTGAAAACACAAACGTGAGCTAGCCGGCGGGTGTGTGCCGGAAACCTCTCCGATGCCTAAGTCAGTAAGCTTGACAAATAGACAAAGTTTTATACTCTCAGAAAGAATTGTGTTCAATTACCTCCTCCAAGGTGGTGCTTGTGAGCTTTTATAGGTTTCGAATGGCATAATCCTAATAGGACTTTTATTTTTCCATACAGAGTCCTCCTAGGATTCATTCTCCTAAGGATAATGCTTATCCTTTTACACCCTCCCCCACTGCTTAAACCAAGTGGGATGGTTTCCTCCATGGCCGAACTACCATTCGACCGAAATAAAACTTGGCTATACTGAGCCACCGAGTGGACCGAACTCATTCATAGTTCGGTTCTTTTGTCTTCCCTTTCTTATCTCGGCTTTCCATGTAGAACCCATAGTACGGTTTTAGACCGAACCAACGACTTTCGACCGGTATAACCCCAAGACCGGCACAACTCCAAGTTGCTTTCGGACCGAAGTACCTTTTATAGTCACTGTGCCGAAGTAGCTTTGTCCCTCTTATGCCGGAATAGCTTTGCCTCTCCTCGGCCGGAGTAACCCTGTCTCTCCTGGGCCGGAGTAACCTTGCGGCCTTTTCACCAAGTCCTTGGCACTTTGGGCCACGAAGCCTATCACATAGCTCGGCCCAATTTTTACTAAAAATTACCCTCTCAATAATTATAATTTTTTTGTTGTAAATGAATTTTAAAAAATGACAAAATAGAAAATTCATATTATTTTAGTCTTTAATTTTTGAAAATAGACTAATATTTTTAAATAATGAAAAATGAAATAAATGACTAATATTTTGAGACGAAATAAGTATATATTATAAGAATATATTTAAGATTATTTACATGGAGACTCCTAAACTATAAAAATGTACAAATTAACCCTTTAAATTATTAGTGTGTTTCACATTGACCCCTTCCGTTAAGGATCCAATTTATATGCTTTTATAGTTTAGGAGGTTCAATTTGTACGTTTTTATAATTTAAGAGTTTAAAATGATACTTCTCAATAATTTAAAGGGTATTCATGTAAATAATCCATATATTTATTTAGATTATCTTCAGTCGTTTATTAATTTTTTCAAATTACTTCAATCATTTCATCAACTTTTTATCTTTTTTTTATTAAAAAAAATTACTTTCTTATCCCAAATTTCATTTTTCATCAAAATCATCTACATTCTTTTAAATTTTTGTCACATTTAGATTTGATGAAGAATTTGTTTAGTTCCCAATTTGATGGGAAAAAAAATGATTCTCTCTCGATTTGATAAACATTTAATAAAAAAGATTGGAGATAAATTTTTAACATTTTTTTTCATTAAAAAAATGATTAAAAAAATGTGAAGGATCGGAGATACACTTATATAAATGACATGCGATGAAAAAGTTTTGAAAAAAAAAAAAAAAAATTCACATAACAATATAATAGGGGACTATTATATAATTTTCTCTCCAACTTTGGGTAGTAGGAGAAGTCAAATATATTTTTTCTTATTAGTTAAGATCCATAATAATATTTAGAGAAATTTGAGCTCATCGCCAAGAAATTTTAACTCATCAGAGAAATTTCTCTGTGAAAAATTAGTAATTTCTAAAATGTTGAGGACTCCAACTATTATAAAAATGTTGCATGTTCTTTATTTTATAAAATTCTAATATCAAAGATCTTAAACTAAAAACTCTATATAATAGATGTGAGATCGATTAGTAAATTAAAACTTGTAAATTTTACTTATTCGTAAAAATTAAAATAATATTTTAACCAAAATATAAGAATAAAAAAGTGTAATTTATTATTTATAAGCATTTGAAAGCTTGTTTGGAAATAATTGATTTATGTTTTGCTTTTTTTCTTTAGTTGTTTTTGTGTGTGTGTGTGTGTGTGTGTGTGTGTGTGTGTGTGTTTTTCATTTAAGGGGTTTGCTTATTAAATGATTTTTTTTGGCTTTTTACGAAGATATGTGTAGAAAAATAGATAGACGATGTGAATAAGTAAATAAGTTGTTTATTTACATTCTGTTTGATAACGTTTATGTTTTCAGTTTATATATACAAAAACTTTATAAACTAATTTTTGTTTATTTTTAGAAAAACATAAACTACAAACGCATTTGGTTTAGACAAAATGTTTAAAAAAAATTAAAAATATAAAAAAGAGTAATAAATGGCAAGTAGTGACGGGTGGTGGGTGGTGACGAGTGGTGGCGGCAGAAGAGGAAAATGATAGCGGGTGGTGGTGGCGGAAGACGGTGGTGGAAAATGGTGGCAGGTGGTGGGTGATGATGACAGAAGATGGTGTGGAAAGTGGTGGCAAGTGGCGGGTGGGTGGGTGGTAGTGGTGGCGGTGGCAGTAGGCAGAAGACGGTGGTGATAAGTGTGGCAAGTGGCGGTGGTGGCGGTGGATATATCGTGAAAAAACGGAAGTAAGCGTGACTGGGTGGGTGATTGTGGTGGCAAAGTGCAGGTGGGTATGGTGATTGGGTGGGTGATCGGTGGCGGGTAGTAGGATGGTGGTTGGTGACTAGGTGGGGTGGTTGGTGGTGGTGACCAAGGTTGGGTTAAGTGGTGGAGGTGGTGGTAGGTTGTGGGTGGCCAAGGCGGGTAGGTGATTGGGTGGTGCGAAGTGTGAGTGGTGGGTTAGTTAGAGATGGAGATACGAGAGGGTTGGAGGGTAGTTGTGGTGGATTTAGTGGCGGGCGGATGTGATGATATGTTCAAGAGCGCGGGGTGGTGGGGTGGTGGCAGAGGGCGCATGGATGGTAATTGGCGGGTGGTGGGTGGGTGTGGCGGGTAGTGGTAATGATGGGAGGTGGGTGGTGGTACAAGATGGGTGAGTAATAGTGGAGTGGTGGTTGGTGTGGCGAGTGGTGGTGCACGGGTGGGTGACAGGTGGTGTGGGTGGTTGGTTGGGTGGGGTGGTGGTAGGTGGGTGCAGTGGTGGGTGAGTTGGTGAGTGGTGGCAGTGGTAAGGTTGGTTAGTGCGGAGTGTATATGTGGCTGACAACAGGGTGGTGGTGGCTGGGTGGGTGGGCGTGGTGGGGGTGGTGCGTGTGGTGCGTGTGGCAAAGTGGGTTAAGTTTGGTGCGGGTAGAATTCGTTGGTAGGCGGAACAGACTGGTGGTGGAAATGGTTGGCGAGGGTGGGGGTGCAAGTGGTTAGTGGGTAGAAACGTGAGTGGCGGAGAACGGTTGGTGGGGTAAGAACGTGGTGGAGGACTGTGGTGGTGGATGGGGTCTAGTGTTGGGTGGTTTAACAAAATTTCAAAATTCATAATTCAATTAGACAAGATACATCAGTTGTTGAGTTTGTACTCATTTTTTCTGTTAAATTTATAAAACTTGGAGACCACTGATTATATATAATAAAGTTTAACCGATATACAAGTTTTTGTTTGAGTTTTTAAAATTTTGTAAATGAAAACTTGAAAAATTGGAATAGAGAATATAAGTGTCCAAAGCAAACGACAGCCTGTAACAACACTCCCGATACTTCAACCCTTAAGATTTTAACTATCGAAATTTCATATTATTAATTGCAATTCGTTTTAGTGTTCTCATAAAATAAAAAATATCGTCTTATTTATTCCTTATAACTCAAAAATAGTAATATTAATTGTGGGAGCCGAGATGAAATCAATGAATGCTAAGTAAGGAATATGACCAACCAAATGCCGAGCCGTGAGGCCAAGGTCGGCAACACGAAATTGGACCACGACCTCCTTGTCGAAGAGGTGGTACCAATTTCCAAGACTAAAGTCATTGTTTGTTTGTTTAATCAACCTTGGAAGAAGCAAATAAAGAGGGTTTT